GTGGAGCCAGAGGGGGAGGGAGGGAGGGAGGGGGTTTGCCTGAGGGGGGGACTAAGGCACTCCTGGCAGGGGGAGGGGGAGGGATCTCTGTGGCACATGGGCGGGGGGGGGACGGGACAGGTAAGTGGCCTGGGACGTGGGGTGGGGGCAGTCCTGGAAAGCAGAGTTCGCCAGTCGGTTGTGACTGACCCGCTGCCGGTCGGTCTGGTACCTCCCCCCCCCTCGCAGTGGCCTGTGTGGTGCAGGGCACGTTCTCACCTGACAGCCCCTCGGAGCGGTTTCTCTCTCAGGGATGGAGCTCCGCTCCTGGACTATATGGCTCCGATGCATCCCTCCATTGGCAGCTTATGTAAAACTTACTTGCTTGATAAGATGCTTTTCCCGTTCAAAAATTCATCTTGCCTGGGCAGAAAGTGTCTGTCCAAAAGATGATCAGCCGTCCTCACAACTCCCAAGAAGCAATGGGCTTGTCTTCCAGCCAGAGCATCTTGCGGAGTTGACGTTGGTGAGGGGCAGAGAAAATAGAATGGCCCCATGGCAAAGAACCCATGGCAAAGTCTGAGGAGCGGGCTCACTTTTCTCATGAGAGAAAACACTCCAATAAAATAATGCCACTGGAGCAACACTTATAATGCCATCTGAAACCAAGTCATTCCCTCTCTAAGTCTGTTGAAGTCAATGGGCTTGGAAGGGGTGTAACTTTGCTTTGCACTTACAAGAGTGCTTGGATAGTTGTGTCTCCTAGGATTACATCCGTGATATATGGAGTGATCAAATGGGGAAATCATCTTCCCCTCTAAACATATGAGGCAAGTTATACTTTTGAGTAGACTGTCAGTCACATGGACACACACAACAGCTTTATACTGACTCAGACCACTGGTCGGTTTTGTCCACTGAGACTGACAGCAGCCCAGTTAAAGCCTTTCCCCTCAACCGTCCCATTCCTTTTGGTTTAACTGGAGATGAGCCGGGGACCTTCTGCATGCAAAACTGATGCTGTACCCCTGAGCCGTGGGCTGCCCCTCCCCTAACAGTCACTCTGCTGGTTATCAATTTCCTGTCATTGGGATGAGATGCTAGATGGAGGCTGGTCAGCATAACAAGGAGTGAGTCCAAGGATTTATTGCTGGGGTCAGTTCTGCAATTTGGCAAACACCATGTTGTACATACAGGCATGTGTGAAGGGAGGCGTGTGAGAATTGGCATACAGAAGGTGGGGAGTTTTCATACACTGACTATGCATGTCAGAATGTTATGAATCATTCACATATATGTGTGTAATATATATTTACCATATGTGCGTGCGTGTGTGTGTGTGTAGGGGGGAGGGAAAGCAGCATGGTATATGAGACCAGCAAGGAAGGCTCTGCAGGGGAAGGCAATGGCCAACCACTCTGCTGCTTCTCACTTGCCTTGAAAGCCCCTTGCTGGGGTCTCTGCCATAAGTCACTTGCAACTTATACAGAACTCACGTATAAAACTCTCACTAGATGAACATCATTCTGCGTGTCAATCCTCTTGGCGCACCAACGGGACACCGGCATGTCAGGTGCACATTGGGGTGTGCTATTTGTTGACGGGTTCATCACAGCATTTGGGCGGGCTGTGCCAATCAGGGAGGGAATCTGTTGTGGTGTCTGCTTGCCAGCATCACGTTCACTGTGCCAGTGCGCAAGTCACACAGTGGGTTAGTCATAAGGCGGCAGCACAGGAGCTGGAACCGGCATAGAACTTCAAACCAAACCAAACAGGATGCCCCTGCCACCTTTTCCACTTACAGAAACACCTCGTCACACACCCTGAGTTGTATAAGACTGGTGACTGGGAGGGAAGGACCCAAGGCCACGTCCTACAGCATTGACAGATAGTTCTCTAACTGACCTGTGCCTACACACAAGGCTGAAGTTGGTTCCCACCTCCCAGTCCCTTATTTGCAAATCCAACCGCA